GTTGGTTATGCTGATGCTGGGTATTTATCTGACCCACACAAGGCTCGGTCTCAAACAGGTTATGTATTTACCTGTGGAGGCACTACCATATCTTGGCGATCAACTAAGCAATCAATTGTGGCTACTTCACCTAATCATGCTGAGATAATTGCTATTTATGAAGCAAGTCGAGAGTGTGTGTGGTTGAGGTCTATAATACATCTTATTCGAGACAAATATGGTTTGAAATGTGACAAGTTACCCATAATTTTGTATGAAGATAATACAGCATGTATAGCTCAATTGAAGGGAGGATTCATAAAACGAGATAGGACAAAGCACATTTCACCAAAGTTATTTTTCACACATGATCTTCAAAAGAATGGTGATATCAATGTGCAATAGATTCGTTCAAGTGATAATATGGCTGATTTGTTCACAAAATCTCTACCAACGTCAACCTTCAAGAAGCTATTGTACAAAATAGGGATGCAAAGGCTCAAAGATGTGAATTGATGCTCTCATCAGGGGGAGTTAATGCGCGTTGCACTCCTTTTCCCTTACAAGGTTTTGTCCCACTGGGTTTTCCTTGCNTGCAAATTGAACATTTGGCAAACGGAATTTTTATTCATCAATCTACCTACATAGAAAAGGTATTGAAACAGTTTTACATGGATGGAGCACATCCATTAAGTAATCTGATGGTTGTTCGATCACTTGATGTGAATAAGGGTCCATTCAGGCCTCAAGAAGAGAATGAAGAGCTACTTGGTCCTGAAGTACCATATCTTAGTGCAATTGATGCACTAATGTATCTTGCTAATACTACAGGGCCTGACATAACTTTTTCAGTTAATGTCTTAGCAAGATATAGCTCTGCTCCTACAAGGAGATATTGGAATGGAATCAAACACATATTGCGGTATCTAAAAGGGACTACCGATATGGGCTTATTTTATGACAACAATTGCAGTCCCGATCTGGTTGGTTATGCTGATGCTGGGTATTTATCTGACCCACACAAGGCTCGGTCTCAAACAGGTTATGTATTTACCTGTGGAGGCACTACCATATCTTGGCGATCAACTAAGCAATCAATTGTGGCTACTTCACCTAATCATGCTGAGATAATTGCTATTTATGAAGCAAGTCGAGAGTGTGTGTGGTTGAGGTCTATAATACATCTTATTCGAGACAAATATGGTTTGAAATGTGACAAGTTACCCATAATTTTGTATGAAGATAATACAGCATGTATAGCTCAATTGAAGGGAGGATTCATAAAACGAGATAGGACAAAGCACATTTCACCAAAGTTATTTTTCACACATGATCTTCAAAAGAATGGTGATATCAATGTGCAATAGATTCGTTCAAGTGATAATATGGCTGATTTGTTCACAAAATCTCTACCAACGTCAACCTTCAAGAAGCTATTGTACAAAATAGGGATGCAAAGGCTCAAAGATGTGAATTGATGCTCTCATCAGGGGGAGTTAATGCGCGTTGCACTCCTTTTCCCTTACAAGGTTTTGTCCCACTGGGTTTTCCTTGCAAGGTTTTTAACGAGGCAACCAAAAGGCGTATTATTAAACATGTGTACTCTTTTTCCTTTTCTAGAATTTTTTTCCCATTGGGTTTTATTTTAGTTAAGGTTTTAATGAGGCACATTACTTATCGAGTAGACATTCAAGGGGGAGTGTTATGAATAAAATTCTATTTAGAGTGAATGTCTATCTTGTAGAGAGTTTTACTTTGTGGCTAAGTCATCTTCCCCCTATAAATAGAGGGGTTTTACCCCATTGTAAATCATCCCAAAATTCAATAAGAATTTCCTCTCTCTCTGTCTGCAATATTGTTCTTCTACTTTTATTATTTTATCACAATATTTTAAAATTTATATAATATTGAATTCTTTATTGATCATAGAGAAAGTACCCAACTAACTTTGATCATAAAGGGAGAAGTATAAATCTGCATAATGATACTTCTTATGCTACCTAATATATCATAATTTTTAAGAGAAAAAGTTTTTCCAATTTAATTATCTCAAAATCATGTTTTAGAGAGGGATCCTTTTTATACAATTTGAATAAATATCAAAATTTTATATTAAAAAGGGACTTGAAAATATATTTTATCTTAAATATTCTTTCCTAATTTTATAAAGTATTCCAATTGAAATTGCAATTTAATGAGAATAATAATATAAGAACGTCTAAATATAAATCTACACAAATTACTGCCACTTTGTTTTCTTTCTTAAAAAAAATCTTCTTCACCTAGAATGATCAATAAATAAAACAAAGTGAAATATGATTCTTAAGGAAATAATAGAATTATATATAAATGTATGTTACCATAGTATATTTTTAGTCAACTGAATGTTTGAATTATAAATTACCAAATAGATAACTTTTCTAGTTAAAAATACTTATCGAATTTTTTTAAGGTGAGAAACAGTTTGCTTTCAAACAAATTGTGGAGTAAAGTAATCAAGTAAAGGATGAGGTCCGGTCTAATAATATAGTGCCCAATACTTTCCAATAACGTACTGCAATTGTAGAGTATCAGTAAATGAATAATGATTAGGAATATATAATAAAAAGAAAAGAAAAATTGGAAGACCATTAAACTGCAATTGCTTCACCTTCTTCAACCTCCAGCCTCACTTTCATGGACTTTATCTTCTTTTTCAAAGCCTATATCTTTCTTCATGCATAGACGTACTAAAACTCCTTGGATACTTCAAGAAAAAGGTTTTCACGAGATTTTCAAGAAATTTTTTTTCACTAAATATAAGATTAATGGATTGGTCACTTTATGTAAATTTAGGTATATTTGTAGATTATATACGGAAAATTGGTGTTTGTTTGAAAAGAGCAGTGGCCTGAACATATTTTGTCCTTCGGCAACGGCAATGGCTCTGCAAAACTGAGGGGTAGCAATAGCACCACTTAATAGTTTGAACTTGAAAGGGGTGAATTTGTTTGGTCCAAACAAAATCTTAATGTTTTTTTAAAATTAAATAAATTTTATTTATGCATAAAGAATTTAAAATTCGAAAAAGGGTCTGATATATTCCTGTATTATGATAAATTGTTTAAAATTGTCCCCTGTTATACTATTGGGCCATAAAAGTCCCTGTCGTCCAACTATCCTAACAAATTGTCCTTAGTTAGACAGAGGTGCCACGTGACATCCATCCTTGCCTCTTTTAAATCTGGGCACATAAGAGACGACCCGCTCCATGAAATCCACCAACCCATAACCCATTTATAGACCAAATAATACCCCAAAGCCACTGCCCAACGATTTATAACCCAAATTAAGCCCCAACCCTAATTTATAATCCTACTGCCATCTCCATCAAACCCTCTATGCTATTAGCTCCATCAAGACAACTCATTCCAACAAAATTCATCATAAATGTAGGAGTCTAGTGCTACATCAAAGAGGAGGTGCTATTGTGGGAGATTGCCAACCACTTTCGATCGACCACACCTCAAAATCCCGGAAGAAGATTCTATAAATGTGCAAAACTTAAAGTAAGTTTGTTAATTGTTTGTACAAAAATTAAATTTTTATTCCTTCTAACCTAATTATTGTTCATTTTCGTTAGAATGAGTCGTGTGGATATTGGGAATGGCAAGACGAACCTTTTTCGGACCAAACTTTGGTAGAAATCAATAAGTTCCAGTGTAAATTGGATGCTGCTAATGTTACAATCAATATGTTGAAGCAATTATTGGAGTCGTGCAAGATAGAAAGAGACAAGCTGTTGGAAACAGTTGAAGATTTGGAAGTTGCAAAAAATGTTGAAGTAAACAAAGTCAGGGAAATCGAAGATAAAGTGGTTAAGATGAAGACGTTTATTTGGATTTCAGTTGCACTTATTGTTGGTTTTGTTGCGACAATGTGGATGAAGTAAATTGTGTTTGTTGAAGATGACCTATGGTCCATATATCACTTGTTAATGTATGTTCCTAAGTACTAGAGTTTTTTTTGCCATTGTAAAACAATTACATCAATTGTTAATGTATGTTTCCAAGTAATAGTGTATTGATGTTCTATATTCCCAAGTACTAGTGTTTTGATGTTCAATCTACTGACTTGTCAATTGTTTGAAATTATTTTGAATTGTTTTATGGCATATGGTCCTTTTTTAAGTACTAGAACTTAGTTTGAAAACATAGATCACCAAAACATAAACTTTGGTGATGATCATATGGGACTAATATATGAACCTGGAGCTTTGGATAAGAAACAAATAGTCTCACTTCTGGATTTAATATTATATATACAAGATGACGCTAGACAACAAGTCAATACTATTTTCCAAACACAAATGCTTACAACACAGTACATCACCAAAAACAGCACAAAAAAACTAAAATTACATCACCAAAACATAATAATTCCAGTAGTAATTTTTTGGAACAACACCAAGAAACTATAATTACATCAGCAAAAATACAGTAATTCCAGTAGTTATATCACTAAAATAGCACCAAATAACTGTAACTACATCACTAAAACAACACCAAAAACAGCACCAAATAATTGTAATTACATCACCAAAGAAGATAATAACTCCAGTAGTTGTGGCAGCAGCCTGCTCAACTCTTCCCTCTTACTTTACTTCTTTCCCTTGATTAAAATAGTTAAAAAAGACAAGTTAAAAATATTCATGTCTAGTATTTAATACTTTGAAGTTAATGTAAAACAATACCAAATAACTGTAATTACATCACTAAAACAACACCAAATAACTGTAATTACATCACCAAAGAAGACAGTAACTCCAGTAGTTGTGGCAACAGCCTGCTCAGGTGTGGCAGCAGCCTGCTCAACTCTTCCTCTCTTACTTTGCTTCTTTCCCTTGATTAAAATATTTAAAAAAGACAAGTTTTAAATATTCATGTCTAGTATTTAATACTTTGAAGTTAATGTAAAATAATTACCTGACCACAAGTTCTTGCATTATGAGTTGTTTCTCCACATTTGCTATAAGTCATGATTCTTCCTTTTCTGGACTGTGACCACACTCCTTGTCTTTTAATTGCCTCATCCTTCTGCTTATCTATCTTAACCTTAGGTCTACCAGCCAATTTCATAAGCTCTGGAGGCTCCATTGCTTGAGATGGTTCAATCTTCCAAAACTTTTCTCCCCTGACAGGCTGTATTTTGTGCCTATAAGTCAGCAGAAATGCCTCCTTGCTATACCACTAGTTGATTTTATTCATTGGATCACCAGAGTCATGAAGTATATCTCTAATAGCATATGGACATGGGATTCTTGTAAGGTCCCATGCTCTGCAAGTGCACTTCTTCACAGCCAAGTTAACACAATGCTTGTCAGATCCTTCTGTTACTTTATAGCCATTTTTGACCATTTGCAATTACTTCACACTCATTATACAAGTCCATACATTTTGGACTGAAATCATATGTCCAGCTCCTAACTTCTTCTTCATGTTCTCTTAACAAGTTCATGGTCTTGATTCTGATGTCCTATAGCATCTTGATTATAGGCTTATGCCTTGCATCCACAATCCACTTGTTGAATGATTCAGTCAAGTTATTATCAACCGACTGATTCTTGCATACAATGTCTATATATGCTCTACACCAGGACTGGGGTGGGTACCTCAACAAAGCCTCTGCAGCATCTTTGTTCAATTCACCTAATTTTCCTAGCTGATCCTTGAAATCTTCTGCATATGTGCACCATGCACACCACCATAAAAGCTTCTTGTTTTCCCCAGTTTTGTACTGTTTGCACCAGTTAGATTCAATATGTCTAACACAGTACTTGTGATGTGCTTGGGGAATGACTGTTTTGACTGCATCAAGCAGTCCCTACAGAACAAACAAAGATGTTCAGAATTGATTATCAAGTAAAAAGTAATTGGAAGATTGAATAACAGATCAGAAATTTCAGAAAACTTCACCATTTGCATATCTGACATGCAGGTGATTCCTTCCCCTTCCTTGAGGTCCAAAGAAGATTGTAGCAGCTGTAGGAACCAATTCCAAGTATTTTTGTTATCCTTATCAACAACTGCCCATGCCAAAGGGTAAAAATATCTGTGAATCCTGTCCAACTGCCGCTAACAATTGGCCTTTGGCTTTGCCCTTCAAAAAGGTACCATCCGAACCAATAAAAGGTCTCAATCCTAGATTGAAACCCATCTTCAAAGCATGAAAACACACATACATTCTCAAGAACCTTCTTCTTCCTTCTTCAAGTGCACTCTTTGAAAGTGTAACAACCACATCACTGCCAGGGTTACTTTCCCTCAATTTATTGGTATACGCCTCTAGTTTATTGTACTCATCTGAAAACTACCATCTAGTGACTCCAATACTATCCTCTGTGCCCTCTTTCACTTCCCATGACTAATATTTAGCTCAAAGTTTCTCTTCAAATCTAACATCATCTTCCTAACCTTGTACTTAGGATTATCCTGTAACTTCCTCTTGAAATATTGTGCAATGGTACTAAAATCAACAGTCTTATTATCAAATGCAGTGCCACAATCATGTTCAAAAGATAAAGTCTTGATTTTAACCCCACCAAACTTTTCTTTTGATATTAAGCACACAAAGGGACAACCAACAATATCACAAGTATACCTAAGCCTTTATAGGTCACTCTTATCTAATTTCAATCTTTTCTTCTTAGCCAGAGAATATAACTTCATACACTTCCTTTTCACTAAGTCACTAAGTTTTTCATTTATTTCCCTTTTCTTTTGTGCTTTAAGTGCTTCTAATTTTTCAGAATTGTATCCTTCAGAATTAGTATTAGAGTCATATCCTACATCGCTTTAGCTACAATCAGTACCAACATCATCCACAATTTTATTAGATTCTTCTTCATATTGTTCAATATTGAGAATAAAGTAAATAGGGGGCTCACATTCATCTACACCATATAGGTTCACTACATTGAATTCATTGCATAATAACCTTTGTAAATGTCTAATACCATTATCCCCCTCAATCACATAAACTTTACTAGATGGGGCATCAACTATAAGTTGTTGAACCCCTAAAAATCCTAGCTCATTTATGAATTCATTGACTATGTCTATGTGTGAAAGTAAGTCGGAGTCATAACCTGTCCAAGTCTTCACCAATTTTTCTGTGTAGACAACTTAAGGCTCAGTAACCCAATCACCATCATAATTGAATATTAAGTCAACTAGCACTATCTCCAACAACCTATAAAACACAACAGAAAAAAATATAATTAATGTAAAAGTCAGTAGTGAGAATGAATAATTAGTGCCAAAAAGCAATAATATTTTATGACAAGAGCCCCCTCCCCCCAAGGAAGAATCCAATATACCAGAATACTTTAATCAAATGGCCACACAATTGGAGACCATCGTTGTTAATAAACAAAGGAAAGTTCAGAATCTTCAGAAAACATAAATATACTTTAGGGAAAAGGACAAACAAACAAACCCCACATAACTCCACAAAATCCCACAAAACAAAGAGTCAGGACTTAATCCCACAAAGCCCCAGCAATAAATAAAGAACAAAGGTGTAAACCATGCATGCAAACACAAGAATAAGGATATATCAATGAAATTTCAGAAACTTTAGTTAGATGTAGATGAAATCTAAGAAATCGAAACCCTAACATAACCCTAAAATACGAAAAGAAAACTAAAAAATTGCAATACTAATATGAATAATATAGCAAAGACGAATCATTTTCACGGAGGAAGGTATAACCTTTATGGAATTTCTTCACTTCAAATCGGCTATCAACAAAGTTGTGAGAGTATTTTCATGTTCTAGATAGTTAGTGAGAGAAGAAAACGAAACGGGGAAAATGAAATGGACGAAATGGGTATTATTTAGTTTATAAATGACGGGTCGCGGGTTATGGGTTGGTGGGTTTCATGGAGTGGGTCGTCTCTTATGTGCCCAGATTTAAAAAAGGCAAGGATGGATGCCACGTGACACCTCCGTCTAACTAAGGGCAGATTTGTTAAGATAGTTGCACGACAGAGACTTTTATGGTCCAATAGTATAACATGAGACAATTTTAAACAATATACCATAGTATAGGGATATATCAGACCCTTTTCCGTTTAAAAATAGTTGAATAATGTTACACACTTGTTGAATTCAAGCCTTTAATTTCTTAACACACACGTGGCATGTATCAAGTACATTATCGGAAAGTACTGGACACTATATTACTGGAGTAGAGCAGATCTCATCCCATCAAGTAGTGCATTTAAAGAAGGCAAAATACATAAGTTAGCACCCGAACAATGGACCAAATCCCTGTTACACACTTTCTGTGGACACAAATAATATTACACACTCAACCTTTTAAAAATGTGTCTAATACACACCGCTTTTGACCATGACTCAGCATGTGTAAAACACCACGATAGAAGCGCGTCTACTAATAAAAATATTGTCTAATTATTTATTTTATGTCATGTGTTTGCAATTTCCTCATCTTCCCCACCCTTCCTCTCTCTCTCTTCCGCCAGCCAACACCCCCCACCAAATTCCTTCTTTTTCTTTTTCTTTCTGATTTCCTCTTAAATATACATATTTGCATTAATCTCAAGCTTCCAATCTATTTCCGTCTCCAGCCTCCTTTTTTATATGTTTGATTTCATTCATATTTAATAAAATTTTGTCATCATCGCCAATTTTTCAATTAATATAGCGTTTTTTTCCTTTATGAGTAATTTCGGCTACATCTATCGCGTGCATCTGCCTTTTCTTTAAATTTTGCGGTTATCTATCTCAGATTTAAGATTCTTAGCTTCTCACGTTGAAGAGGAGGCTGAATTTTTTATTCTGAAAGTTGGTGGTGGCAATGACAGCCATGGAAATGACAAACAAAATTTGGAAGAGAGCTATAAATGAAAATAGTACGTTTATGTCTTTGTTGATGTAGATAAGCTTCAATAGATATGGTACCCAAACAGTTGTAATTTTCGATCTACCTTTGCCATTGTTGCATTTTTTTTTAACAATGGCCTTGTTGTAGTGATGATACGGTGATGTGAGCCATGACATATTGACTTTTGATATTTTTATTTCTTTCTGGGATTAAATCACTTGGGCTCCTAATTTTTAGGTTGAATTGTGTGTTCTAATTTTTCGGGTGGTTCATGGAGGAGGAGATGGAGGTGAAAGAGATGGGGTTGGAGAAGATGAGGGTATATGTGTAATTTTATATTTTTTGTTTTATTTATTTATGTTAATGACACGTGTCACGACCTTATTGGTGCGTTACATTAACCATATTTAGGTAAAGTGGTCAAGAAAAAAGTGGGGTGTATTAGACACACTTTTAAAAGGTTGAGTGTGCAATATTATTTGTGTCCACAGAAAGTGTGTAACAAGGATTTGGTCCATTGTTCGGGTGCCAAATTATGTATTTTGCCTTTAAAGAAAATAATGAAGGTTGAATAGGAAGTGGGGTCCATCTCAAGAATTCAATAGCTTAGGCCAAGTTTTTTCAGTCATTAAGAACCCACAATCAAGCTTTTTAGCCTATTGTACAAGCAAACGATGCAGTTAAATTTTTGAAATGACTATGATGCCCTTGATCGACCTCCTCTTCTCTCTTCTATATAATAGAAAATATGTCCAGATTTTAAAAACTATTTAAAGTTCAGTCAGCTTTACAAACTTTAGACTTCTCATAACTTCAAGTTTGAAGTTAGGCTTTGACAGAGCTTAACTTCATATTCGACAAGCTGAAGTTGACTTTTAGGTGATTAAACTTTAAACACTTTATGAATTTCGAATATTCTTTAAATAAGGTCCTAAAAACGGCTATTTGTGCACTATCCCCCTACATCCGTGGGTTCAATTAAAAAAAATTCTTGCAACTACGAAAACTACAACACAAGCACTCTTTTTCCATTTATTCTATCTAAGAAAAAGAATTCAGCATAGCTCCTGACCGTCCCACCTTTTCATTTCTTGATCGATATAAAATCAAATGGTCGAGGGTCAATATTGTGTTCTATGAAAGAATAATCAAAATAGCTGCTAACCCAATTGCTTAAATTAAAAATAACTGTCATATGTTATAATATATGTATAAATAGATGTAATCAGTACATAATCAATATGGAGTTAGACCTCTTTATAACAATATTCCTATATAACAATACTTCGCTATAAAAACCAAGCTAAAGGTCTTTAGAAAAAGTAAATAGCAAGTAGAAAGGGCTATTTGTGCAAACATCTCTATCTGAAAACCCCACTCATTATTTCAGCATTTATTCTCCGACACTCTCTAATTCCCTTCACTGTGATTTTTGTGCATAGCAAAGAGGAGAGAAAGAAGCGGGAAAAGATGCAGAAGAGACAGAGCGGAGGCGGAGCAGCCGGTGGCTCCGCCACTCCGGTAGCAAAGAGAGGCCGTCCGGTCGGCAGTGGAGGCAGCAACGCTGCCGCTGCATCTGCTGCCTCTAGTGCTGCCGCCGACTCGGTAGCTCCTCCAACACTCCTCGGCCCTTCCCTTCATGTTCCCTATGCCTTCGCTGGTTAGTTGCCTTTATCATATGTGTATTTTACTGAAATATTAATATGTTCCTTAAATTGATAGCTTTAGAATGATTTTACTAGTGTAATTTTGAAGTAAATTATTACTCCCTCCGTCCCAAATTAACAAGCACTTAAACTCAAAAAAATTATCCGAAATAATTGTCACTCTAGGAATTCAAGACTAAATTTGTTAATTTTTGTATAGTAGTTCTGTTTAATACTGCTCAATACGCAATGTACATTTAATAGGGGTAACTTAGTAAATATATCTTGTATTTTATTGTTTTCTTAATGAGCGTGAAAATAACTAAAACGACAATTAAAATAGGATGGAGGGAGTAAAATTTTTGAGCTTTTGTACTGCGAGCAGTGGCGGAGGCAGGAAATATAAAGGGGTTCAAAAAAGAAAAAAGTTAAAAAATTGAAAGAAATTGTGACGAATGAGAATTGAACCAGTGACCTCACAAAAGTTTTGAACCCCCTTGACCACTAAGCTATGCTTTTGGGTTGTGTCAAGCGGATTCAAAACATAATATATAGAGGTAAAAAAACAGATTTTGCCTTATATATACAGTGTTATTTTTCGGCAAAGGGGGTTCTAGTGCAATGACGGAGGCAAGATTTCCGCTAAAGGGGTTCAAAAAAGAAAAAAAGTCAAAAAAAATTGTAGCTAGTGGGAATTGAACCAATAATAAATGGTAAGTAACCTCATAGACGAAGCCAAGATTTCAACTTTATGGGTTCTAGAGTTTAGAATGACGAGTTAATAACTAGGTTCTAAACTTAATATATGGAGAATTTCTTACAAATATACATTGTTGAGCAAAAGCTACTGGATACCGCCGAACCTGTAGCCGGGCTTCTAGCTCCGTCCCTGAGTAACCTGCTATGATAAATCTTAAAGCTTTTATACGCCTCTCGCCTTTAGTAACACATTTAATACCAAGTGTTGTAGATGGAATTCAGAGCTGGTTCTTCAGGTTGTTACTGCTCTAGGAGATCCCTTCGGGAAAAGAACTTAACTATTCTACTCCCTCCGGTCTATTTTAGTTGTCATGGTTATCTTACACACCTTTTAAAAAACTATTAATAAGAAGGGCTTTTCGACTAC